CACACACACACACACACACACACACACACACACACACACACACACACACACACACACGAACAGAATCAGAACTTTGTGTAATGAACATGGGTCAATAGGACAGGGTGATGTTAGCTTTAGACTGCCCTCTGCTGGACATCAGATTTTAGAAAAAAAAAATCAAAACTATTTTCAAACATCAGAAAATAAAGATACACTTTTTTAATTCTAAAAAACAGAAGAAAAAAGTTTAAATGCCAGGAATATGTGTTCTGATGAGTTTAATAAAACCCTGATTATTGGATGTTTCTGTACAACTGAATAAAACCTTCAGCTTCAGTTTGTCTGTAAACTATATTGTGGTACTTTGTGTGGTAAAGGTTCTTATATTTAGGATTTATTTTGCTTCATTTATCAAACAGATTGGTTCAGTTCCCCATGAGTCCAGTCAGGGACCTCAGGGCAAACGTTCTGAGACTTCATGTTTTATCTGTAAATGTGTATACCATCAGCTGGAGCAGGATGAAAGTAGTAACTCTGGTACATCGGTGTGTATTTGAGTTTATTATTACCCGGCAGTCAACAGTGATGAACAACCTCTGAGTTAGCACAAAGAAAACAATGCCTCAGTAATCCTTCATGTAAAGCAGTGTTTCTACACAGCACCCTGCATGTTTTACAGGTGTCCCTGCTCTAACACACCTGGTTTAGGTGATGCAGTTCAGCAGAAGCCTGTTCATCAGGTCAGTCTGCTGTGCTGAAGCAGGGCTGCAGAGGACCAGGCTGAAAAACACTAAAGAGACAAACTGAAGGCAGTAGCAGTTTTTCTTCATGTTCTGTTGACAGATGAAGCTGTTCACATGTAGTCTGTTCATACTGCAGTGGCTCTGCTTTAACACACCTGATTTACACACAAACAGTTTTTATTTGTTTTTGTCTCTTGTTTTGGGAAAGGATATCATTCCGTTTGGGAACAACCCTGTGTTCCGCTGGCTGCTGGGATGGATGGTTCCTCCTAAGATCTCCCTGCTGAAGCTCACCCAGGGAGAAACCATCAGGCGTCTGTACGAGCAGCACCACGTGGTCCAGGACCTGCTGGTCCCCATGAAGCACCTGCAGGCCGCCATTACTCGCTTCCACCAGGAGATCAAGGTAAATCTGGAGCCCTGATTCTCTCTGTGTTTATACGTGAGCTTTCAGAGCAGCTGTGCCCCGTCAGGTCTACCCTCTGTGGCTGTGCCCCTTCCTGCTGCCCCCCGCCCCAGGCATGGTGCACCCCGAGGCCCAGCGGGAGGAGCTCTACGTGGACGTGGGAGCGTACGGGGAACCTAAAGTCCAACATTTTGAAGCCAGAGCCTCGACACGACGGCTGGAGAAATTTGTCAGAGACGTTAACGGGTAAATGAACTCCTAAAACTCACATGACCATGTCTCTGTTAGCAAAATATCTGATGTACGGCTGAATGGATTTCAATCAAATTCCACTGAACCATTATTTGATTGTGATTATTGATCGAGGAAAAATTCAGGTCGATCACGGTGATCAGCTGTGAGCCTCTTACTCGATCAAACATGGTGAAATGCAGGGGCGGACTGGGGCAAAACAGTGGCCCGGGAATTCAGTACCTGACTGGCCCATTCAAGGTCCGGGCTGGCAGATGGTGGAGGCAGATGATGGAGGCAGATGATGGAGGCAGATGATGGAGGCAGATGATGGAGGCAGATGATGGAGGC